TACCAGGGTCCCTTTTTCACACACTGACACTGTATGAACACGATGCTGATGAAAAATGAGGAGCGTGCTCTGCGATTCTCACACCAAATTCCTTAAAATTTGGGATCCCTGGCTCTCCTATGCCCTTCCAACCTTGAATTCAGCCAGTTTGAGCTAGTTTCTTTGACAACACATCGCCTCTGTGCTTTTCGCTATGGAGATGGGGAGACCCTACTTTTCTCCGATTCTTCTTCTCTCCTTTTACTTTTGCCTTTCTCCATCTCTTGGCTCTTTTTTCCTCGGCACGGTCCTTGGTCACTCACTTATCTCTCTGCGTCTCTCCTATCCCTTTCCATGGATTTTTTATTTCTGACCTGGTGCGAGGACTCAGAGGGACCACTTGTCATCCTCAAACTCTAATGCCTAGACGACCATCTGTTTTTCATATGGTTTAGTGTCCTGTCTTTTTGTGTCGTCAGTAATAGCTATATTCAGCTGGACTTGTTCTGTAATGCTGAAATTTTTATGCAACTTATCCAAACACACACACACACACACACACACACACACACACACACACACACACACACACACAGAGGTTGAACTTGATGGACCTGTGTCTTTTTTCAACCTAAAATACTATGTAACGATGTAGCTTTTTTCTGTTCTAATACGTTACCGTGGCTATAAATGGATTGTAGTCCATCACTGGAGTGAGCTTGGAGCAGCTACTTTACAACACACACACAGGGACCATGGGGAACAAATGTAGCCACTCTCCAGAAGGAAGGACAGTGTCAGCACCAATTCAGAGATGATTTGAGGATCTACAGCTGAGTGTTACACAAATGTGAGTGTTAATAGGATCGGGTACTTGATTGCATCTGTATGATTTAATTCCTGCATTTAGGGTCAATGAATTTTCCCATTTGTACTGGGAGCGCCATTCAACTACAAACACCCAAAAAAAAAAAAAAGATACAAGTTCATGGCGTATTTATCACAGCTTTCCTTTCAAATTTATATAAATCACAATCCCTAAATGTATTTTATATTGCAAAGTGTGGGCAAGACAGTACCTAGTATTGCATCAAGTGCAAGCGGACACTGCCTCAACACCTCTTTGTAGCTGGTCACTGCCGAGCGTTCCTGGCCAGCCTTCTTGTACAAGTTAGCCAACATCATGTTAATCTGTGGATAACAGAAGAAAAGCAGTGTAATACGCAAGGGGGAAAAAAAATTAGGCATCAATGATTTAAAAAACTTTTTTTTACCTTTGGGGTTCTTTGTCGGGAAGGAATTCCATCCAATATAGCAACAGCATCTTTATCCTGCTTAAGCATTGTGTAACACTCAGCCATTTTATATTTTACTTCAATTTCTGATGGAAGACTCTAAACACAAAAAAGTAAATCAAGATGATTAATGTAATGTAATTATGTAATAGCAAAGGCTTTATAGATATTTCTAAAATGCAGGTTTATCTATATTTTCCCTGCAAATATATACTGTACGTGTGCTCTAAAGTTGACATGTTGAGTCTCATGCTGCTCCTTACCTTAGTCACAGTCTGAGCCGGCCAGGAAAAGGGGGGTGCGGTGATTTAAGCCAAGGTGTCAGCTGGGCAGGAGGTGGCGGCCGGCCAAGCTGTCAGCCAGGTGGTAAGCTGCTACCGTAGTCAGCCGTGCTGCCACCCCTTCCCCACACACACCTGCCGCCCCCCCTAATGAGATGCCTCCTGGTGCTACTGCTTCATTATGGGGTGTAGTCAGAAGTAACAAGAATTATTATTTTTTTGCTCCCAATGACTGAATGGAACAGTAGTAGGGCAAAGGAAAGGTGAATACGTTCTGTTGGAGGACCAGCCTTTAAAGTGAACCTGTTATTCACAAGCATGCTTTAAACATGAAACACTCTATGCCAGTTCTGCTGTGAGTAAATGAGTACGTTTGTTTTTTTAAAGAAAGCAGCTGCTGTACCTGGTTTTGTGGCGTGGCACCAGCGGTTCCCGTGGGTGGCCTGACTTTTGAAGTCTTGGTTAAGGCTTTTTTCTGCTGTAGAGCCATGGTGTATTTACTGACAGCATTGCGATACTCCTTGTCATGAAATAGAGAATCTGCGTGGTATACCAATAACTGGTACTTCTGTGATGACGAAAACATCTCCCTGAGGAAGAAAAATAAATAAATGTATTTTTGTCCTACAGAAAGCATGGCAGTAAATTCATGAGCCCTGGCCGATCTATAGACCATCATTAAATGAACCAATCATCATCCTCTCCCTAGATATATCGGGCGGTCCAGAAAATGTACACATACACAGGTTACATGAACTTAAAAGAGAATGAAAAGATAACTGCTGCCCAAGAATAAATACAAATAACTATTGTAGAATTGTGCAATAGAGAATCAGTTATGAGAAACATCAACAGGTCTTCTTTCAGACAATTTAAATCAATAGCCATGTTATCTGAAAGTCAGGGACACATTTTGTAAACAAATTCAAGTTTTAAATGTGCTACTTAAAAAGTATCTATCTAAAGTATCTAAAGTAGCAAAACCTTAAAAAAAAAAAAAGGTTTGATAGAATAGGAAAATGTTACACCCCTACTCGGGTTTTATTGTTGACTGCATACTTCCAGAAACAAAAAACAAGATTTTACAGTTGTCACAGAACAGGAGGTGACAAGAAATCTTTAATAGGGACACCTGTCCGGGTAACAACAGTCTCAGAAGGGATTCCCTGTCACTTCCTGGTATGTCTCTTGGTTTTACAAAATGTCACATGTCCCGCTTTGTTCTTGGACAATCAACTGATTAAAGGGATTAAGACAGTTGAGTTATCATGATGTAGACATAAATACTAGAGTATGTTCCCAACACTCATCTGATTTTTGGAAGCTACTTTGATAAGGTATCTCATTTCACCTCCCATCACACAACTTCTGCAGTTCTAATGAGTGTCAGGAACATACCCCATTATTTATATCCTCACAGGTAGCACCAACACCTTCATCCAATCATCATTGACCAATCATGTTGTCAAGGCAGATGGTGATTGTCCAAGAACAGGATGGGAGGTGCGAAAGTTGCAGAACTGCTCTGTTTTATTTACATAATCCTAGAGTGCGTTTTCAGAAACGTTCACAACTGCCATCCTGTTCTTGGACAAGCAACATCTGCCCTGACACATTCCATGGTGATTGGACTAATGGGACTGAGTTCTCTGTGTATATAAATGGTGGAATGGATATAAATGCTGGTGTATGTTCCCGACACTCAGAAGTTAGGAAGCTACGAGCAAGAGTAACATCTTCAGAACAAATCGAGTTAAATGTGACCAACTACTACTAGTAGCTATACCGAGATCTGAAAAGAAGAGAACCTCTACAGACACACTGCTGTGCTTGGTGATGTGACCCTGTGTTTGGATATGGTAAAGCAGTCACATACAACCAGACTTGTTTGGTAATGTTGAACACGCTTCACTACTCATCTAAGTAGCTTCCTCAGGTCTAATGAGTGTCAGGAACAAACCCCAGCATTAGGGATGCACCGATCCTGATACTTTGATTGGTCAGGAAGCCAGGCTGCCTAGCAACAAGTGAAGCCAGCTCCCTAACCAATCAGGAAGCCGGGAGGTGGGTCATGACGTGCCGTCCAGCTTCCTGATTAGCTAGGTAGCTTGCGTCACGACCAATCAGAAAGCCGGGCAGCACCTTATGACCCCGCCGCCCGGCTTCCTGATTGGTCAGAAAGCCTCAGGAAGAGAAGCTGGTATTCTTTCAATACAACACTGGCTACCCAGGCAATCAGTCATAATCCGCCGCCCAGCTTCCTGATAATCAGGGCACACGACACTGGCGAGTACTGGGGGGAAAAAATATTCACACAGATAACTCTGTCACATTAATCCAATCACCATGGAATGTGTTAAGGCAGATGTTGATTGTCACGACGGGAGATGTGAACATTTCTGAAACCATATTGATGGATTACATCATTAGAACAGGTGGTTTTACAACTTTCATCATGTTCTTGGACAATCAGCATCCAGCTTGACACATTCCATGATGATTGAATAAAAGGTGTCTGTGCTACCTGTGTGGATATAAATGATGGGGTATGTTCCCGACACTCATCGGAACCATTGAAGTGTTTTAGATGAGCTGCAAAACATCTCCAACATTACACAAGTCCAGGGGAATGTGACAAAGAACTTTTAGAACATACAATGGTGACATCTTACACGTCACATGACATTTGCAGGCAGTTCTCACTATGCTAACCCTGGACTTGATGCCCTTTATACCCCATCTGTTGGAATTTTGCTTTCATTTAATTTACATAATGAAAAACACAAGACACTGGCCCCTCCTCCTCCCAAAGGATT